GGGGGTAGGGGCTTCAGGGTTAGTTTAGGGGCTCTTGGGTGTGGGGCTAGGGGCTTTCGGTTTATTTCGGTCTTAAGTTTAGGGTTGCTAGGGCTTTGAGGTCATTCGGGGTTTAAGTTTCGGGTTGGGGCTTTTGCGCTATATCCAATTTAGGTTATTATTTGAAGTTATTTAGGGTGTTTGGGGCTTAATGTTGACCTCCAAATAATGACCCCCCCCCCCCGTCTCAATTGAACCCTACAAACCCCATAAACCCTATAAACCCTCTGAACCCCAGAAACCCTGTAACCCTATCAACCCTATAAGCCCCATAGACCCTATGAACCCCATAGGAGCCCGTCAAGATGCTGCGGCAAGCGGCCGCGCTTTTGGTGGACCGCGGCATGGTCTATGCGAGTCACTGGAGGCTTGGGGGGGGGCGGGGAGGGGTTTCAGGGTTTTGTGGTGGTTTAAGGGCTTAGGGGTTTCGAGTGGTTTCGAGTGGTTTAAGGGCTTAGGGGTTTCGAGTTCGGTTTAGGGTTTAGGGATGTTTAGGGCTTATGTTTGGAGATCGGTTTTGGGTGGCGAGGGGTGGAATGAAGCGGAGGCTCACTTCTCCGCACTCCGCGCAAGCACAGCGACGTTCCCGGCGTTGGGCATTGCTTCCACAAGTGGCCGCAAATTGCATTCAAGAATTTCGGGTTTGGGCGCCGTCAGGGGCTTATCACGACCCGGCAGCGAGAAATGGCCATAAATGTCCTCCACGCCCACGTGGTCCCCATCCCGCCCTTCCTCCCATCCCCCATTCCTCCACATATTCCCTCCCCCCATTCCTCCACTTCCCTCCCCTCCTCTTGCCGCACAGGGGAAATAATGAGGGGATAATGCTGGTAGTTTTCCTTGGCTCTGGCATGATCCTTGAGATGACAGCTTCAGCGGAGAACAAGAGACGTCCCTCCCAAGCACGGGACGCTGGCGGTTCAAAGGCCCTGTGCTCGGCTGTCTGAGAGGGAGGCCTCGGGCTTTAGGGTTTAGGGTGTAGGGTTTAAAGGTTTAGTAAGTTTCGTCATCCGAATGTTAGATAGCGGTATGCAGCTGGTGGGTTTCACTGGGGGGGGGGGGGAGTAGTGATGTACCGAGACCATGCAGGTATGATTTCTGCAGCAGCATCGGGCACTGCCACCTATGTAGCCTTCCCTGTCTGGCCAATGTTCTATATTGATTGGCTTGCAGTTCGTCAACTCTAACCCCGAAACCCTGAAGCTTCCACTCCTTTCGCATGCCGCAAGGTACGACGAAACCACGCCGCGGGGTCCACCCATGGCCATCCGGCCTCGCCGGAACGCCCGGCGAGGGTCAAGCAAGCTGATCCCGAAACACTAGTCCTACACTCCAACAGCGGTCCTAGACCTTTCTAACATATGTGTGGTGCAGGGAGGGTTTCGGATATTGGTTTCTTCAGCGTACCCCCCTTCCCTGATTCAAAGGGACTGCTTCTGGGGATTTCGTTTTAAGAGCAGCAGGTTTTCAAATGGCGAGGGTGCATGTAGGTTGTAGGAGTTGGAGATTCATTCATGCGTACTTAGAAGCAGAGCTATAGGCTACAAGTAAGACAACCTGTACACTAGCCCTGCTTGAGAGCCCACTTATAACTCCGTGACCCTGCCAGCAGAGCCTCAGGTCCAGAGCAGCTCAAGCAGTGGGCCACGGAAACAGGCAACACAGAACCCTGATAGCGGCCCGAGCCCTGAACCCCCCGGACCCTCGACTCCAGGCTTCCCACTGTGGGGGCTTATCTTGCTTTGTGAAGGGGGTGAGGTTCCCCTATACACCCCGTTCGATACAAGGTGGACCCCTTGTATAGGTTCCCGGCACTTGGGGAATTCACTGTTCACTGCTTCGATAGAGGTGGCCTGGGGGGCCTCAATCCTAGCCGCCTAAGCCCTGTCCCGAATCCCTACGCCAAAACCCTGAGCCCCAAGGCAGTCCCTTAATCCAAGGCCTCCGTTGCGTGCTGACATCGCTAGTATTCCAGGATGCCCCGTAGTACCCCTGATTGCCTTTGAGTAAAGATAGGACCCCTCTGCCCACCATCACCCAGCACCCGTCAGCATGGTCATGCAGAAAAACAGCCAAGCCGACCTCAAATCAGAGTCTTGCTCCTAACTCTTCAGCCCTCCGCCCTGAATCCCCGAAACAACCGTAAACCCTAAACCCTAGCCCAAGCACAAAAACCCTAAAGTTTCCCCAAAGACACTACCTGGCGTGCAGGCCTGCTGGAGGTGCGAACCATGCCACGTGATGGAATTTGTCAGGGCTTCAGGTTTGGGGGGCTGTGGGTCCTATACCCTGCACCCGAAAACGGGTTTTTGATTTCGGTTCAGAGAAGGAGCACCCGAAACCCTAGACTTAAGTTGTGCGAGCACAGAGGTGTAAAAGGGACCGTTGAAGGTTGGGTAGGGCGTAGGGTTTGTGGGTTGTCGGTTGGGGGGAGGCCTTGTGCTTTAGGGATTATATGGTTTCGGGTTCGGGGTTGTGGGGCCCGCTTGAGGCCCTGAACCTGACTCCTGCATGACCCATCCATAGCAGGGGCACATGCAACAAGCCGTTTCAGCCCTTGAACCGACGAAAAAGTCCACATTAACACCCGAAAAGCCCGGACAAAGCCCTGAACCGGTTTGGAGGTGGCCAAGGGACCTGTGGATTGTCCCCCATGGCACTACGGCTGGACCTTCCGACGCGTGGCGCAACGCGTCGCCCGCCTAAGGCGCTGAAGCCGAAGCTGTAGGCCTGACGGCGTTGGGATTCAGGTTTAAAGGTGTCAGGCTTAGGAGTGTAAGGCTTTAGTCTTTGGATCCATGGGACTACTAACAGGTCGTTTTTGGTGCCCGAACTGAGATTAGCATGGTCCAGGGTTTACGGTAGACGTTTTTGGGGGTGCACTAGTCCACGAAGATGCAATAGTCACGATCGGATCTATAACACTGAAGGGTTCATGTGGTCTCTACATCGTGGCCCCTACTCAAGGTACCTGAATACAAGGGGCCGTAGACTCTACATCGTGGACCCTACTCAAGGTACCTGAATACAAGGGGCCGTAGACACAAACGGACCCTAGTTCGGGGAACCTGGCCCCATCTGAAGCATCAACGCTTTGAACGGATGATCTCGTGTGATGTGATTCCCATAAGTTGCTTCGCCGCAGCAATCAGCCTTTCTACTACAATGGACCCATTTAGTCTAAATGGGTGAATGCATCAACTAGGATCCCCAAACCCCGAAACCCCTCGACCCCGACACCCTAACCTCAAGATATTCAGTTTCGGCTGCCATCGCATGTGCTTTTCCAGCGTTACGCGTGCCGGGGAGTCTGACTTGCGCCTCCACGTCCTACTTGCGGGTTTCAGGTGTATGGTTTAGGGTCACAGGGTTTAGGGTGCAAGGGTCGGCGTGGGGGGGGGGGGGGGGGGAGGCGTGGGGGGTTGATGTGATTTGTGTTTCAGGGTGGTTCAGAGCAACCTAGCAGCGACCTTGCCACCCCTTTGCCACCCCTTGCCCCCCGCCCCGCCCGCACCCCGACAGGGATACAGGGATGGAAAAGTGGGGTGGGGTTATGCGCCCAATTGCTTGAAAGGGCAGCTTGTTCACGCTCTCCGGATGATACGCTACGCACACGCCACACCAGAAGATTTTCCAATTTTCAGCTGGCGTAGCCACTTGTGGCCGCAGCCCTGCGACATAAAAGTCAGATTCGCACATCTGCATGGCAAGTACATGAAATATTCATCGAGTGGAATTATCCTTGAGATTCCCACAAAGCATTGCTACATGTCGAACCGAACATCGGCAGGCACAGCGTGGAAAGCCCGGACGTCAGCAGTTAGTACGAACCCTTTTTTGAACCCCAACCCTAAGCTTTAAAGCTGAGATCCTAAACCCTACGCCCTTCTGTAAACCCCATTTCTACAGTGGTTGAAGGTCTGACACCTGCAGCCTCGAAGTCTTCTTCCCCCCACCCCACCCATGCCGCCCCTCACCCCCCTTACCTGACGCATCGAAGTGCAAGAAAGCACATAAACCGCTTCGCAATAGCGCAAAGCTCGCAAGAGGCGGGGCTTCCCCCTTGAACGACAGCCCTGACTCCTCGAACCTCATCCGCAAGCTTGGTTTCCCCTTTCTTCCGTTCTCGTCCTTCCCTTCCACACCGAATCTGCTCCTCTGGCTCCGGGAGTAGCTCCCTTGCCATGTACGAGATTTGGTCCCGGGCCGTACGCCTTTGAGCCCTTGAAGCCCCCTAGTTAGCCTTACGCTTCTTCTTGGCCCCATTGCTGGTGAGCCCTTCAACCCCCTCAAGCCATCGCCTACACGCCCTACAACACCCTTAAAAAGCCGCTTCAGACGCCGGATGCAACCTGGTAGAACCCCTTTGAGCCCGAGACTCATAAAAGCCCTGCCAATGTTGCTCAACCCCCGAAGCCCTCTAAATCTGGAATCAGCCCTTGTGAGCCGAAAAAAAGCCCCCAGAAAGCCTAAGTAAACTCTAGACAGACCCTAAGCCATAAACCCTAAAAACCCTTAAGCCTAAACCCTAAACCCTCAGTCTCGCTTCCCTAATGGGATGACCCCGTAGCTGGCAATGGTCGAATGCGGCCGCCTTGACTCAGAGGCGAGTTTGGCCGTTTAGGGTTTCGGCGTTTAGGATTTAGGGCTAGACTTTGAATGTCCTGGGGACTAGATGAACCCTAGAACTGGGGGGGCTAGCGTGGCGTGAAGGGGGTGGGGTCATATCCCCATAGGAGTGGAGCACCTGAGGTCTTAGGGCTGAGGGTTCTGACCCTTGGATTGGAGGTGGCGAAGGCCAAATTGGATTCACTTTTGATTCCAAGGATGCTTAGAACCCGGGGCGTCTCCCTAAACCCGTTCGGGGCTTAGGAGATCTAAACCGTAAAACCTGAAGCCCTAAAGCCCCACAACCCCAACCTCTAATGTTGCAGCATGCCTGGACTTGTGTCGGTGCTAGGATGAGCGATCGCTACCGGCGGCGGCATATCGAGGCGGCCTTTAATGGGCAACAGGTTCAGCTCCGGAATCCCTCAGACGTTGGGGTGTTTAAGATTTGGGGTTTGGGGTTTAACGTGCAGGGTTGGATACATGCTCCCTGGGGTGCTGTTGCTCCTTTCGTACTGGTAACTGTCCACGAACCACCACGTGCTGACCGCCAAAACCTTAGACCTTAAACCCAAAGCCCCTATTGCTCGGGGTCTTCTCTTCCCCAGTACTACAACCATGCATGTACAAGAGCAAGAAAGTGAAATGTGACCATCTCTGCTATCATGCACAGTGGACGGCGTTTCTTTTGCAAAGCCAAAGATGGAATGGCCGAACAAAGGCGAGCCCTTCGAACGCACAGTGGTCGCAGCACGTTGATGGGAGAAGGGGTCAGCCTGAGCATTAGATGAAGTTCGCACAGCATTCACAAGACATTCACACGTACCTCCGTCTCTGTGTGTGTGTGTTTCTTGGTTGAGTTTCTTGTTCCCCACCCTCAGTGTGGGGTTGTTGGATTTTGAGCTAAACTCTTCTCCTCGCCACAGGGTCCCTCGAGTGGGAATCCCCGAAGTTCCCAACCCCAGAGTAGGACTGCCCACAACCTCCAAATCTGGAGGGTGGGGATGTTCGAAGTAAAGTAAGTTGGAGTTTGTGTGGTCACATTCCCGCCCAAGAAAAGGTAACGTGCGAACTGCTCCTGTTAATGCTTGATCTGGGGCTTAAGTATTCTCAAATTCTCCAAATCGGCTTCGAGCCCAGTCCAACACCAGCACCCATTGAACCTTGAGACCGTCTGGACAACGCTCGTCTCTTCATGAGTCTTCTCACTGGAGCCGGAAGTAGATGCATGAGTCTTTCAACCTGAACCCCTCAAATTAAATCCTAAACCTTTAATTGAACCGCTAAACCCTCTTCGACCCCGAGCCCTCCGACCTGCAGCCCGATATCATTTGATCCCAATTCGAGGGCTTCGAGAATCTGGTTCTCGGTCTCCTGCCGAGGTTTGGGCGTTTAGGTGTTGTCGGTAGGAGTACGGATGCCGGGTTGTGGTTTTTGGGCCCTTAAACCCTAAACCCTGAACCCTACTAAGCCAGCTTCAAGGCTTTAGGGTTCGGCGTCCCTCAGCCCCAAATCACTGGAGGAACCATCGCCCCCACGGCGGCGTCGGGGGGAGGAGAAGCCAAAATCCTGAAAAGCCTAAGCCTAAGCCGCGGGGATTCAGCTTTTGGGGTTTGGGATTTACCCTGGGTCCCCTACTATCTCGGGTGTTCCTAAGGAGTCTCACCTACTAATTACTTAGCAGGTGCAGGGCTTGTAAGTTCTTAGTCGAGGGGGCCCCCTCTAATCATTAGAAGTCACGAGCCCCGATCTATGCTTCGATAGCCACTACGTCGTGTGGAGCCAGAGAGCCCTCTTAGGCTCCCTAAACCCTAAACCCTAAACCCTAAACCCTAAACCCTAAACCCTGAACCCCAAACCCTAAACCCTAAACCCTACTTAGGCCCTCAAGCATGAGTGCAGAGGACTCCCGAGACCGAGATGTGCGGGACTACCGGGAGCGGGACGTCCGCGATCGAGATGGCCGGGATCGAGGCTTGAAGGATGGCCGAGACCGGGATCGAGACCGGAGCACCCGAGACGCTTGGACCTGGCTTCATAGGGTTTGAGGTGCAGGGTCTGGGGTTAGGGTTTCCGAGCCACCGGAAAGCGCCCTCCTGTGCCAAATTGGAAGATGCGACATCGATTCCATGGGGCTTCCATGTCATATTTTGACTGCAGGGTATGCTTGGCCGGCGACCCACGGCTTACTCAGAGCTTCGTGGGGTAGTGGAAGCTGGGAATATCAGTGCCCCCAGGGGCAGTAGCAGAGGTTCCCTTTTGATGGCAAAGCGTGAAGTGTCCCCTTAAGCCCGAGACCCTAAACCCTAGGAGGGCTTCCGAGTCCTTCCGCCTCCTTTCACTCAAGTTCACTTTGCGAAGGGCTATAGCTATATTCGACACATTCAGTAGGAGTGATCCGCAACTTCGCAGGTTGTTTGGGGGTTGCAGACCTTGCGCCGGCTAAGGACAGGGACGGCCGAGATGGCCGAGACAGAGATCGGGAGCCGAGGGATCGGGATATCCGAGACCGAGATACTCGAGATCGAGATCGAGAGGCTCGAGACGCTTAGCTGTGCTTCAGAAAGCAGTGCCTTTACTGGGCACAAGTTGGATTTGGGATCATACCAAGAACAAGACTTGAACTACTGCAGGTTCAGCCAAGTTTTTGGGCCTTTGCTTGTTCCTACCCTAAACTACCCGCGACGCAAAACGAGCCCAGAATTCAGATCAGTCCTCATCTCCATGCCGCACATCCAGGCTAACCCTTCTGAAGAGCCCATACGACGCTAAACCCTAAATACCCTTAATCCTAAAGCTTGTGAATGCCCAAACCCTCAAACCCTAAAGAAAATAAGCCGCTAAACTAACCCAAAACTCAAAACAGAACCTGAGCTCTAACCACCCCCCCCACCCCTCCCGCCCCCCCAGAGCGTCAATCAGTGCCCACTGAGCGCAAGACTCCTTTGATAAACAGGGCACCCTTTTTGTTCCGAGGTTACTCGTGGGTCTAGCCGTCTAGCAAACAGTTAAGGGCCTTAAGGGTATCTTCCTTGGAGTAGGGGTCTTGGACTCTCGGAGGAAGCCCGCAGCCCGAGTTGGATACGGGTTTAGGGTTTAGGGTTTAGGTTAAAGTAGGGTGGCAAGACTAAAGCCCTACTCAGGATACTTCACTACCCAAGGCTTCGATGGGTTTAGGGTGTCCAGATTTCCCCGAACACCTCATGTGCGAATGTTGCATCGGAGGGTTTAAGGACCATCCTAATAACAAGCCGCCTAAACCCTGAACCCCGAAACCTAAACCCCAAACCCCGAACCCTAAACCCCAAACCCTAAACCCCAAACCCTGAACCCTAAACCCCCCCAAGATACCCTAAAACACCCCGACCGTTCCGAGGACCGCGATGCCCGAGACCGGGAGTTTCGGGAGCCCCGAGAGCTCCCAAGGGAGCGGGAGAGGGACCGAAGAGATCTGCTGTTGGGGGCCCCAAAAGAGGGGGTTTAGGGTTTGGGGTTTGGGGTTTGGGGTTTGGGGTTTAGGGTTTTCCTCTAAATGAGGGTTCCTTTTGGGGCCTTATTAATTAAAAGGGCGCCGTGCTACATCTAGGACACAACAAAGGACCCTAATTCAGGAACCCAATAGCTCTCAGGGCTTTTAGAAGGGGATCAGGGTTTGGGGTTTTATGGTTTTGGGGTGCTAGGGATTCACGTCCAGAGATGTATGGATCTAGGGTTTTGTGCGTTTAGGGTTTTAGGATTAGGGTGCTAGGGGTTCAGGTTTAGTGTTTGATGCTTCAGGTCACTGGAGATTCGGGCTCAGAGTTGAAGTTCACACGAGTTCAGGGGTCAGGCTCAGCACTAATCCTAAACGTTAGACATTGGCTTGCGGGCGTTTGGTTTTGAAGCTTTTTAATGTTTTTGTTCCCACATCACCATGTGGGGGTCTTGTTGTTTAGGCGGCCCTCCGCGTCCGCCCGCCATTGAAACCTAGTAAACCCTTACTCCTTCACTAAACCCCTAATTTTCTCAATATTATTATTATGATTATGATGATGATGATTATTATTACTATTATTGCTATTAGTATTGTTGTTATTGTATAAAGCCTGAACTCTAAACCCCGAAAGCCAGCCCCCAAGCCCTATTTTCCCCCAACCGCCAAGGCGCGATCTCCCGCCGCGAGAGCGTGAGCCACGCACTGCCGGGGGCTTTTGGCAGGGGCACCCCCTCCTCTGAGTAAACAGGCTTTAGAGGCTTTAGAGGTTTAAGGTCCAGGGTGCAGGTTTTTCGGGTAATTTAGGGTATTTAGGCTTGCGGGCGGAAGATGCTTTTTCTGTAGGATGCATTTTGGCCGGCTGTGCAAAACATCCTAGCTCATTCGCACATCTAAGTAGGCCTACACCGGTAGGGTTTAGGGGTTTAGGAGGGTTCGGGCTGTGGCCGCTGTTTGGGGTCGTTTTAGCGGGGCTGGCTGTTGCTTTGCGCGCAAAACTGCGCTGTTGTCGATTTTCGGCTTCTTTTCGGGCGGCTGACTGTTGCTTTACGCTCGGGGGTCAGCACCCCCTCAAAACCTCGCTGTGGCCGGGCCTTTGGCTCCCGATCACGGGGGGGCTGACTGTTGCTTTATGCACGGGCGGCGATGCCTCGCCGTGGCAGGGGGTTGAGCTCCTTTTAGGGGGACCGGCTCTTGCTTTACGCGCGGGGCCTCAAAAGCCATCTGCAAAAGCCTTCGGGGAGCTCGACGTGGCTGTAAGATACAAAGGTACAAAGGCACTTGAAAAGCTCTAGAGACCCTCAAAAACATCAAACATCCTTTTGAACCTTCAGCCCCAAGGAATCCTCAGCACCCTAACACAACAAACCCTCGAACCCTTAAACCCTACATCCTAAAACCTAAACCCTAAATTAGCCCTTAAACCCTAAATCCTAAACCCTAAACCCTAAACCCTAAACCACACTAAAACCCAAAAACCCTGCAACCCAATAAACCCTAGCCCTAAACCCTGCGTCCCAAGCGGCCGAGGAGCGCACGGAGAGGGGGGCTCCCAGCGCTACACTGCAGGCTCCCTGGGTGGCTGCCGCTAGGGCTAGGGCTTGAGGGTGGGTTTAGGGTTTAGGGTTTAGGGTTTAGGGTCTAGGGTTTAGGGTTTAGGGTTTAGGGTTTTTTAGGGGCTCCCTAATCCCTGAACCCCAAACCCTTGAGGGCTTTAGGGTGTTTAGGAAGGACGAGGGCTTGTAAGGTTTAAAATTTGGCATTTGAGACTGGCGCAAGGGCTAAGGTTTGGGGTTTCTAGAGTTTTGATTGCAGGTTTTGGTGTTTTTGGTGTAGTTTTGAGGAGCTTGGGGTGCGGCACTTGTAGTCTTGTAGTTGGAGGGTTTGTTTCCTACTGTTGCAGTTTAGTCAATTCGACATGCCGGCCCAAAGATCATCGGCTCTTCGTTTGCTTGTGTCTTCGGGTTGCTCCTGCTGCTGAAAACACTTTGTGATGACAGGAGTGCCTAAACACGACCCCTAGATTTTTGGCAAACACGGAGCTAGCAGGCTTCTTCCCATACTTTCCAGATGGCGTTGCTGTCTTGAACTCGCAGAGGGATACAGCTTTACTGCGCTGCCGTGTACCGCGAAGCACAAATCCATGTTCATGGTGCCCCGCAAACCATCTCACCGCAGGAGTGGAAACGCTTTCGGGATGTTCCCCTTGATACTAGCAGTCCTCAATAGGGATCAGAATAGGGGGAACTATAATCCCTATGAAGGACTGCTAATGTAAGGGAGAACATCCCAATCTATATCAAGCAAGCAGAAGCCTAAACCCTCTTGCAGCCGATGACCAACCCTCGAGCCTCGACGCGTAAACCCCAAGCCTCAAGGAGCAGCCCTGAACCCCCAAACCCCCAAACCTAAACTATAAACTCCCCAACACCTAATTACTTTTGCCCTTGGACTCCTAAACCCTAAACGCCATAAGATCGCGGCAGGTTTCGCGGATCCCTCCCAGCGTCACAGAGGAGCGGCTGGAGGCGAGGAACTAGGATGCCCAGGAGAGCACGTGAGGCGCCTATGTGTCAGGGTTTGGTTCCCTTCTGAACGGCCTCGAACAAACGTGATGCCGTTTTTTACAAGCCTAAGTTACAAGGCAACCGAATGATCCTGATACTGATAATATGTGTGTGTATATACATATGCATCGACAACAAGAATCTGCAAACAAAACACAAATAAACATACAAGAACATGTATGTATGTGTGTGTATATATATATCCATATAATATACATATATATATACACATAAATATATATATATATATATTAATTTATATACATACAGGGTATGGTCGTTCAGGCTGTGGCTTGGGACATGGCAGTGGCTGCCGGCTCATCGATGCCAAACGCCGTGCGCTTCGAGTGCTGCTCTCAGAGATGCGAAACCCCAAAGCCTAATGCCTGCCAAAAGATGCGAACCCCAAAATCGAAAGCCAAAACCCTATAAAGCTTGAAAAGCCAAGAACCCAGCAAGCCCTACAAAGCCTATAACCCCTGTATAGTGGCGAGCTTGCAGATAGAATATGTATATTTTCGGCGTTTACCCTCCGTCCAGTACATGTTGCTTTTTGCTTGTAAAAATTGAACCTCGGCCCAACCTTGCAGTTTGAATAATCTTGTTTTTTCCCAGACGTTGCAGTTAGAATACTTTCCCAACATTGCAGATAGAATATTTTCCCCAAGATGCAGTTAGAATACTTTCCAGCGGTGCAGTATGTATACAGGTAGACCCTTATATGTGATCCCGGCTCCGGATTCGCCATACCCCCCCCCCCCCCCCCCCCCCAAACCCCTAAACTCTAAACTCTAAACCCTAAACCCAAAACCCTAAACCCTAAACCTGTAAGTTTTTGACTTCTCAGATTCTCAGCTATGCCTTTTTATTGATGCCTTCGACTTGACTTGCATTCATAGCTGTTGGCTCACAACTTGCCTGTGGGATCCTTTTTCACTCACGATGAGTCCCAAGGCCCTTCAAATTATTCTGATAAGAATTGCTCCCAGAGTCGTTCATCATGAACCTACATTGCCATGAAGGTCAGCAAAAACCAGCGGAAGCAGCTGACCAAGGATCCCAATCGGGCAGCCAACAGCTGTGTAGAGGCCTACTCATTCAAGCCCGGATCTTAAATATGTTCCCTGAATTTCTGAGCCTTTGTCTCTTGCCTTGAACTTCTACGGACACGAGGCCTCGATGCCACCGTCTATGAGTGGCTGCGATGTCACCTCAATTTTTCGGTCTCTAAGAACCCTATCCTCGTCATGAGACCCGGCAAGCCATTGGGTACATCCCCTATGGTCCGGGCCCGCGGCGAGGACGGGGCAGCGAGGCAGGCAGTCGTCCGACTCTTTTCGGATGATTGTAAGCCCTGCCTCTCGGCCTCAGGACCCCTGCAGAGTTTTTAACAAGACTTCAGCCGAGCACGGCATGGAATCACATCTACCTCTGGGAGGTCGAACTGCGAAAGTGAAAAAGTGGTACTTCTGGTCTCAAGCTAACAGTCCCCTGACACTACCGAAGACGAATAGCTAATGTATCCACATATGTGTTCTTTATATTTCGATGCCAAATGAGCGTTCATATCACAATTAAGAATTTTGATCACCGTGCAAATCAGTCAGACTAATACTAACATCAAGAGGTTTAACGTTTGACTCCACAAGTAACCCAGCCATAAGAAACAAGTCTTTTCACCCATCCCAGCCCATGCCACCCGCTGACAAAATCAGGCCTGGGATCCCGTGTCAGTGACCTGACCGCAGCAAAGGATGCGCGCACGTATCACATCACCTCACACACAGGCACGTTTCTTGTGCGCGTGTCAATGTGGCATTGCTGTTTCAAACTCAATATTGCCTTGTCCCAAGCTCTTCCGAACTAAGGCGATTCAATGGCCCGGCCACGGCGAATAATCCAGGGGAACGCGTATGCATCTTTTTCCGTGTGAAAGTGCTGTGATCGCACACCCAAGGCACTACTTCGGCTACGGATCTGGACTCTTGAATCTTGCTTGAGAGTAACGCACGTCTCTCAAGAGAAGCATCAACTGAGGCACGCGCCTACGAGCGAGATCGAGTACCAGAACACTTCACTGAGCGAGTGCATAGCAGTGTCAGCTCGCTTGGATAGCGTCACGGACAAAAGACGAGCTGTCACGCAATCCTCCTCAGTGAGACAGGCGCCCTGTTACGCGTGTGTGCAGCACACAGGCGCAACACTGGCGACGATCCGCGAGCTGTTAAACCTCAAACTTCTCCCATTCTGTTCCGCCATTTACCAGCGTGCCCTGGGTTGCTTGGTGGGACACTTGGGAGGCAGTATAAGTCGGTACTTGCATGCAAACGAATCATAACACAATGTCTCGTCCGTGCAGGTGTTTCATGACAGAGGAGGACTTCATGTGGGCATTTGCTGACTGGTTGGATCCGGAGGCCGGACCCACGACAGCCACTTGCCGCAGATCACTATCCCACACGTCACGTGCGTCAGGAATATTATAGCTTCGAGATCCACCGGACAGAGGCGGGCCATGCCCGCGAAAGCTGAAACCCTAAATGCCAGGCCTTGAGGCCATGAAACCCTAAACTCCAGGCCTCGAGGCCTGAAACCCTAAGGCCAGGCCTTGAGGTAAACCCCGCGAAAACGAGCAAATGGCTGGAGTTTAGGGTTTTTCAGGGCCTCAAGGTCTGGAATTTAGGGTTTCAGCGCTTCAAGGCAAGCCGTCAAGCCTGGGTCAAGGCCTGGGGTTTAGGGTTTCAGGGCCTCAAGGTCTGGATCAACCAAGTTCCCGGCAATGAAATAACAAAATTTGGTTTTTTTGCGTCCGTTCACTTCAAGGCTAACGTAGCGCGCAAGAGATGCAATGGCAAGAAAATGAGTTTAGCAAAATGACATGCTTTCAAGCACAGGCCTTTGAAACTGACATGATTGAATAGTACTTGTTGTTTTCGGAGTGTTATGGGATTCTCGGGGCGGGTGGGAGTTATATCACAGCCGAACATAAAGATAACTGTACTATAAAACTGCTCGATCCGGAGCTGCTGAACCCTAAGCCCTAACCCCTAAACCCTCAACCCTGAACCCTAAACCCTAAACTCTAAACACCAAACCCTAAACCCTAAAACCAACCCACAACCACACCACGGGGGAGGGGGGGGGGGGCGGGTACCATGGGGAGTGGGGGCAGCCCGCCGGCATCACCCGCTGCTAGGTTCGCCACCCCCCCCCCCCCCAAGTCCCCCCCCAACCCCCTAACACCAAAACTCCAGACCTTAAACCTGAACCCTAAACCCTAAAACCTGAAGACCCTAAAACCCTAAAACCTTAAACCCTAAAACCAGCCCACAACCACGCCACAGGGGGGGGGGGAACCCAAGCCCTAAACACTAAACCCTACACCCTACACCCTAAACCCTAAAACCCTAAACCCTAAAACCAACCCACAACCACACCACACAGACGGGGGACCATTGGGAGGGGGGGGGGGGGGCAGCCCGCCCCCGGATGATAAAACCAAAACCCACCAATGAACCACAGGCCCGAAACCTTAACCGCTTGAACCTTGACCCTGAACCGTAAACCCAGCACGAACCACAGGCGGGAGAGCGGAAACCGCAAACCTACCATTACCCCAAACCTTGAACCCTAAACTCTAAACCCAGCGTGAACCTGGATCAAGGGGGTCAGCGGAAAATCCTGATCTCCACAGCCCAACCCCAAACCCTAAACCAAACCCTAAACCCATGAACCACAGACCATGAACCACGGGGGGGGGACCCAAAACCAGCGTGAACCACCGTGGGGGGGGGGGGGGGGGGGGGGGGGTGCGCCTATGCTCCCCCTAGACCGCCTAGACCCCAAGCCCGTAGAGGATCATCCCTCACACCCGGCAAGGGGCAAACTGATGCTCGTGATGCTCGCCTCGGGCCCTCACGCCCAGCAAGGGGCCAACTGATGCTCGTGATGCTCGCTTGTCGGGCCCTCACGCCCAGTAAGGGGCTAACTGGTGCTCGTGATGCTCGCCTTGCCCAGCAAGGGGCCAACTGATGCCAACTGATGCTCATGATGCTCGCCTTGTCGGGCCCTCACGCCCAAAGCGCCAACTGATGCTCATGATATCTCATGATGCTCGCCTTGTCGGGCCCTCAGACTCGCGCCCAACAAGGGGCTAACTGATGCTCCCCTTGTTGGCCCTCACGCCCAGCAGGGGCCAACTGATGCTCATGATGCTCGCCTTGTCGGGCCCTCACGCCCAGTAAGGGGCCAACTGATGCCCATGACTCGCCTTGTCGGGCCCTCACACCCAGCAAGGGGCCAACTGATGCTCATGATGCTCGCCTTGTTGGGCCCTCACGCCCAGCAAGGGGCCAACTGATGCTCATGATGCTCGCCTTGTCGGGCCCTCACGCCCAGCAGGGGACTGATGCTCATGATGCTCGCCTTGTCGGGCCCTCACGCCCAGCAAGCGGCCATCTGATGCTCATGATGTTCGCCTTGTCGGGCCAACACGCCCAGCAAGGGGCCAACTGATGCTCATGATGCTCGCCTTGTCGGGCCCTCACGCCCAGCAAAGGGCCAACTGATGCTCCCCTTGTTGGCCCTCACGCCCAGCAGGGGCCAACTGATGCTCATGATGCTCGCCTTGTCGGGCCCTCACGGCCAGTAAGGGGCCAACTGATGCCCATGATGCTCGCCTTGTCGGGCGCAAGGGGCCAACTGATGCTCATGATGCTCGCCTTGTCGGGCCCTCACGCCCAGCAAGGGGCCAACTGATGCTCATGATGCTCGCCTTGTCGGGCCCTCACGCCCAGCAAGGGGCCATCTGATGCTCATGATGCTCGCCTTGTCGGGCCCTCACGCCCAGCAAAGGGCCAACTGATGCTCATGATGCTCGCCTTGTCGGGCCCTCAGACTCACGCCCAACAAGGGGCTAACTGATGCTCGCCTTGTTGGCCCTCACGTCCAGCAGGGGCCAACTGATGCTCATGATGTTCGCCTTGTCGGGCCCTCACGCCCAGTAAGGGGCCAGCTGATGCCCATGATGCTCGCCTTGTCGGGCCCTCACACCCGGCAAGGGGCCAACTGATGCTCATGATGCTCGCCTTGTCGGGCCCTCACGCCCAGCAAGGGGCCAACTGATGCTCATGATGCTCGCCGTGTCGGGCCCTCACGCCCAGCAAGGGGCTAACTGATGCTCATGATGCTCGCCTTGTCGGGCCCTCACGCCCAGTAAGGGGCCAACTGATGCTCATGATGCTCGCCTTGTCGGACCCTCACGCCCAGCAATGGGCCAACTGATGCTCATGATGCTCGCCTTGTCGGGCCCTCACGCCCAGCAAGGGGCCAACTGATGCTCATGATGCTCGCCTTGTCAGGCCCTCAGACTCACGCCCAGCAAGGGGCTAAGTGATGCTCATGATGCTCGCCTTGTTGGGGCCCTCACGCCCAGCAAGGGGCCAACTGATGCCCATGATGCTCGCCTTGTCGGGCCCTCACGCCCAGCAAGGGGCCAACTGATGCTCATGATGCTCTCCTTGTCGGGCCCTCACGAAAGGGGCCTAACTGATGCTCATGATGCTCGCTTTGTCGGGCCTTCAGACTCACGCCCAGCAAGGGGCCATCGCCTTGTCGGCCCTCACGCCCAGCAGGGGCCAACTGATGCTCATGATGCTCGCCTTGTCGGGCGCAAGGGGCCAACTGATGCTCATGATGCTCGCCTTGTTGGCCCTCACGCCCAGCAAGGGGCCAACTGATGCTCATGATGCTCGCCTTGTCGGGCCCTCACGCCCGGCAAGGGGCCAAGCCTTGTCGGGCCCTCACGCCCAGCAAGGCCCAGCAAGGGGCCAACTGATGCTCATGATGCTCGCCTTGTCGGGCGCTCACGCGCAGCAATGGGCCAACTGATGCTCATGATGCTCGCCTTGTCGGGCCCTCACGCCCAGCAAGGGGCAACTGATGCTCATGATGCTCGCCTTGTTGGGTTCTCACGCTCAGCAAGGGGCCAACTGATGCTCATGATGCTCGCCTTGTCGGGCCCTCACGCCCAGCAAGGGGCCAACTGATGCTCATGATGCTCGCCTTGTCGGGCCCTCACGCCCAGCAATGGGCCAACTGATGCTCATGATGCTCGCCTTGTCGGGCCCTCACGCCCAGCAAGGGGCCATCTGATGCTCATGATGCTCGCCTTGTCGGGCCCTCACGCCCAGCAAGGGGCCATCTGATGCTCATGATGCTCGCCTTGTTGGGCCCTCACGCCCAGAAGGGGCCAACTGATGCTCATGATGCTCTGATGCTCGCCTTGTCGGGCCCTCACGCCAGCAAGGGGCCAACTGATGCTCATGATGCTCTTGTCAGGCCCTCACGCCCAGCAAGGGGCCAAGTGATGCTCATGATGCTCGCCTTGTCGGGCTGTCGCGCTCAGCAAGGGGCTAACTGATGCTCATGATGCTCGCCTTGTCGGGCCCTCACGCCCAGCAGGGGCTAGCTGATGCTCATGATGCTCGCACTGTACGTCCCAGAGCCAGCAAGGGTCCAGCTGGTGCTCGCCATTAAACCCTAAAACCCCAACCCCAGAAGCCGAAAACCCAGAAGCTGAGGTACGACCACGACCGCTTCTCCGGCACCGCCTTGTTGGAATTCCCCCACAAGGACTTTGGAGGCCCAAAACCTTAAAAGGCAACAAAGCCCTAAATGCCCCTTAATACATTGAGTGCCTAAAATCCTGAGCCTTCAGCATCTAGCTTCAAACCCTAAACCCTACACCCTTGGCTTCTGGGTTTGCGAGTTTGAGGCAGGCGAGAGTTTAGGGCACCTTTTAATTTTAGGTATGGGAGGTCACGGGCTTAAGGTTTAAGCCTGCAAGTCCTAAACCAGGGTTCAGGGCTTGAAAGAAAAATCCTAATTCGGGTCAAAGGCTTCAGCACTCACAGCCCAAGGCAGTTGGCTCTAGCAGCTCACATCCCCAAACCTATAATAACAATTAGACCCAAGCCCCTGAATCACCACGAGCGGAAAAAGAAACACCCCAAGACCCTCAGCGCGCAGCCCGAAGTCCAAAGCCCTTAGCCTGCCGTCCATGGTGTTTTGGTGCAGAGGACGCCGCCAAGATGTTCAAGGAGGCGACCGCCGTTGGAACCGAAATTCAGGTTTAGGCTTCAGGATTCAGGGTTTAAATTTAGGGTTTAGGGTTTAGAGCAATTATGGTTTAGGGCTTCAAACCGCACGAGCCTAAACCCTAAGCCCTACACACAAGACCTGCCTGTACCCCTTATTCACCCCGTTTTTTGGGGTTTTGTCTAAACCCCAAGCCCCTGAAGCCCTAAAAACCCCTTTTTGTTGTCAACTCACAAAAAACAAACCCTAAGACCCTGTTGGCTCTTTCCCAGGCTCTGGGCCTCAGCCCAAAGGCCCAAAGTCCTTGAAGCCTTCCAGCCCAAGCCTTGAACCCCAAAACGTTATGGGCCGCAACATAGGGTTTTGGGCTTTTCAGGTTTCAGGGTTTTGGGACGTGGGGTTTAGGGTTTAGGGGTTGAAGGGTTTGGGGACTCGGGTTTTCGGGTTTAGGGTTGGTTTCGTGTGTGTTAGGGTATCAAGGTCTTGCGGTCTGAACGTTGCGCTCGGCTTGGTGGGCTAAGATATGTTCACCGGGAATCCCCAAACAAATTGGCCCTCCCACTCCCCCCCCCCCCCCCCCCCCCGCGAAACAAATCTGGGACCCTCTGCGTAGATGCACATACTTACCCCAAACCCTAAACCCTAAACCCTAAACCCCACGATCCCCAAAGCAAACAGCTCGCCCGCGCGCAGCATGTGGGAAGCTCTCTCGATGTGGACAGCGTGCAGCTGGAGATCAGGCTCGAAAATTTGAAAAGTTCGGCCAGGATGAGAGGTCTTTTCATGGGCTCCTCAACTCTTTGGTCTCCAAGGTCTAAAAGTTCTAGACATAAATCAAGAACTCTAAACCTAGAAACCCTTAACCCTACTTTTCGGGCTTTGGGGGCCCGAAGACCACAGCATACAAGGATTCAGGCTTTTCTAAGTTTAAGGGACGGGATATATGAAAGTAACCGACTCGTCTTCGAGCAAGACAGAAATTAAAGGTTGGAGGCTTCAGGGCACTAGCTTTAAACCCTAGACCTGCGGACTTCCGAAAGGGTCCTCAACACCCTTAAGAAATCTTAGACCCTAAGCCCTAAACGCTGTAAGGGTGTTTGAGCTGAAGGTTTAAGGGGAGCAGCTCGGTTCTCGCTTAGAGGCTTCGTTCATGGCGAGTTTGGGCTTGAAGGGTTTTTCTCGGTGTTTTTTTGCATCAATATCATTTTGATGTGTTTCGGATTCTGGGGGCTTGCGGGGTTTTGAGCTTCAAAGGGGGCTGCGCCACCCCACCCTGTACATGGCGCATCAGCTTGTTTGGATAGAAGGCCGAAGTCGAAGTCGAGTCAAGAACTACCTCAAACATTTCTCCGAGTACAAGGCGTCCTCATGCGTGCTTTGACCCTTCTCTTCACGGACACGGCCCAACACGTCGTCGATTAGAGCAAGTGGTGCACCTGGGTATGAACTTACAGCTTGAGCACCTCATCCGACGCGACGTACGCCCGGACTTGACCAAGTCGGGCATTCTGGACTCCTTGGAGTACTGCAAGCTCAAGCTTCGCAAGCTCCTGAACCAGGTCTTCTGCGGTGTACAGCTGTCAGGCTTTTAGGGTTCAAAGGAAGTTGACTGGGCTTATTAGCACCGTACTATGGTTCGGTTAAACTACGTTCCCAGCCTCCAAACCACAAGTCCCAATGCCTGAACCTAAAATTCACCGTTTACAGCCTCACCCCACTTTGACTTTTGGTCCTGTGTAGCTACTTGTAGGAGGGGACTCAAGAACCTAAATCCAGAGCCCTGAAGCTTCGTGTAATCCGAAACCCGTGTAAGTCCTAAACCCATACACGAACCCCAAAGCCCAAAACCCAGAACCATTCTCCGTCCTCCTCAAAAGGGCGTGCTCGCGCACTCGAAGGTACCACAAGGGAGCAGGTGAACCAAGAAGCGAGGGCCCCGGTACGCAGCATCTGAAGCCTAACGTCCCAGACCCCAAAAAAGGGACCAAGGGTTTAGAGCCTTAGCTTTGGGGACGTTTTGGGGGGGCTTTTGGGGTTTTAGGGCTTTCCGGTTTTATTGTAGGGCCGGCGCAAAAGTGAAAGCAAGCCGAAGCTGCGAAGCCCAAAGTGCTTTCGGTTTGTTTGTTCCTGCTTTTTGTGCTTGCACTAGCCGCTAGAGAGACACAGAGTGACGCACACAATTGCAGCACCCCACCACCCCCAAGAAAACAAGACACTCAAATCCTAAACGCCCCAAAATAAAACCGTATACTCGTAGTAACCTTAAACCCTCAAACCAAAACAGTCCTCAAAATCCTCTGTCAAGCCCACCCTTATATTTATATAAACCCCGTATGATGCCCCCAAGATCCTAAGCCTTAAGCCCTTAAGCCCTAAATCCCTAAACACATAAAATCACAAATCTCTAATACCCTTGAGCCCTGAAACCCATAAATCGTTCTAAAACCCGAAGCGCCTGCAGCCATCGGAGGAAAACCCTTGACTGCGGGGCTTTAGGGTCCTGGGCACCCTTGAACGTTAAAGCCCAAGTATGCTCTATTTTGGCTCATGGACCCTTGCACCTGCTGTTCAGGGTCTTGGGTGTCAGGTTGTTTGTTGAAAAATCAGGATTTCGGTGATATGAAGGTTCCCCTCCCCCGTATCCTTAACATCTCGCAGTTACCTTCCACAGACAACAAAAAGCCAATCCACCCCCCGAGCCCGCTAAAGCCCCGCACACCCCAAAACTTTCTTGGTGGCATCCCAACCCTAAATCTTGAACCCTAAAACCTAAATCCCAAACCCTAAAGCCAAACCTGTGAGATATCTTTGCGAATCCCCCCCAAGATCAGGCCGCAGCCGCAGCCGCGAGCACGTGGACCGCGACGACCCCAGCGCTCTGCCCTTGGCCTGACTGACCTGGGTCAGGGTTTGGGGATGTTTGGGGTTTGGGGTTCAGGGTTTAGGCAAAACGCCCCTCGCTAGAATCGTACTGTTATGGCTGTTTCAAGATACTGGGGGTGGGGGGGGGGGAGGAGGAACAAGCCAGCTTATCAGGAGCCGCGGGTCAGAGGTGAGCAGGGCAGAAAGGATGGACCCGATGTCTTCGATGATGTGTCTTTGCCTGAACAATCATTAAGAAAGCTCAAGGGGTTTTGCGATGTAGGCAACATAGTCTTGAGGAAAGAGAGAGGTGGGGTGCAGGGTGCAGGCAAGTTCTCTTAGGGGCAGCTCGGCATGTACATTTCCAATGATTTGGATTTGTCAGCAGAAACTGTTTCCCGTGCATCAGGAGTGTCGATCACGTACGACCCAAGTTGCTTGAAAGAAAGGAACGGGCAGTGCCGACACCACAGCAGTCCTGAAGCGAACATGCGTCATCATCACCACTGAGAAGTACTTCGGCCATCCCCCCCCTCCCCACGGACAAACCAGTTTCAGTGTTGCCGTCCCACGTCTTACCCTGAATGGTGGTTCACTCTTGCGTGAGTCGGCTGGCCTCAAGTCCATGGAATATCGCCAAGGACGTTACGACCCCCAGACGTGTCTCATCTTGAGTGGGAGCGAGCATGGATGCGCAGTGTGATCGACAGCAAGGCGTAGCAAACCCAGTGCACCCTGTGAAGTTGGGGTGGTGTGAAGTTGAGGTGGTGGGTGGTGAGCTTTTCCATGCTCATGATCATCGTCGTTTGCAACTCATCGTGCCCGCCATCGCTGATGCAGGGAACTGGGCGCATGCCCGCTCTGTTCCTGTTGTCCAATTGTGGGTTTCCCAGATTCGCCCCGAACGATTATCCCCAAACCCTCAACCAACAGGAGCCCTTGCTTACAAGGCTCCAGAGTGGTACCTTGTATGGCAGCCCTGATCTGGTTTAGGGATGTTTAGGGATGAGGAACTTCTTTTGGTGCTGTCCTTTTTAACCCCTGAATCAAAACCCTTTTCAGGGTACCAATTGTTTGGGATTAAAAGATTCGGCATGCCCTACAGCTTATGTTGATGTTACTCTTTGCTCCCTTTTGTTTTTTGTTGGGGGGGGGGGGGGGGGGGGGGGGGGGGGGGGCAAAATGTTAGTACCCCACCAGGTAACCCTCATCGTGAAGGGCATTGCCTCCACCACGCGAGAGGAGGGATGCAGAATAGGGGGGGTCTGAGGTTGAGCGGAGCGTCCTGAAAAGCCCAACCCCGAGCCCTAGAACCCCTGATCACCTTTTTTACTCAACTGGAGGTCTCATGGTGGCTAAGGCTTGGGTTCTTTCGCCCGAAACAGGTTTCATGTAGCTTCCTGGCACATGGGGGTTATTTGGAGAGATGTTCGCATGCAGATATAAGACGAACCCTAAAGACCCTCCAAGCCCTGCAACGCTTAGAGTTCCTAAGAGCCCACACACCCAACGAACTACAATACCAGGATCTGCTGCGAGTTGCAGGCAAAAGTTCCCCCTAAGGGTCCATGTGCCTAAATACAGGGCCTCAAGTTTACGGATTTAAGGGTTTAAAAGTAGTGTTTGAAGGCAAGTACACGTTGGACCTCAAGGTTGCGGGCTTGGGCTTAGGAACTCTTTTGAGATCCAATACGGCGTACGGGAACATAGGGGCCACCTGAAACCTGACCCCCCTGAGCCGCTAAACCCCAAACCCCCAAAAGCCCAAGAGAAACTTAGAATCCCCGAAGCCCCTAAAGCCCCGAAAGCCCCTAGAACCGCAAAATCCCCAAAGCCCTAAGCACGAAGCCTGAGTTCCAGTTGGCGTCTTCAAGCCTTGGCCCTCAGTCCTAAGCCTACGCCCTATGCCCTCAGCCCGAAGCCCGAAACCTAAATCCTGAATGAACCCTACCATTTGCAGGTTTGAGGGTTAAGGGTTGGAGGGTCTGAGGCTGAAGGTTATAAAAGGTTTTTCCCAGACCCCGAACCCCAACGCTAAAAACCCCAAACCCCTATATAACTAACCCACGCACGACAAGGCCTTCCACGAGTTGTGTTGTCTTGAGGACGCTGTCACCGGCGCCTTCCTTCCCTACGCCCAAATCAAGGCTGCAGTGTGAAGCCTGGTTTAGAGAACAGGGTTAGGGTTCAGGGATCAGAGCTTAGGGTTTAGGAGGAGTGTCCAGGCAGCTCAGGCTCTTGGTCAGGGGATATATAAGGCTCGGTGGAGTCTGACCGTGGGATTCCCGAAGCCCCAAGCCCCGAATCCCCAAGCCCAAACCCTACACGAGCTTAAGGTTTGGAGCCACGCTGGCGCATGGAGATGTGTAAGATTCACGTGCCGGCTTTGCGCAAGGCATCCTCATGATTTGGAGGGGGGGGGGAATCTTTGCTGTAAGGGGCCAACCCCCCCCCCCCCCCGCTAGCGAAGCAAAACGGCAGCAGCTTCGAGAGACGGTTCTTCCTATAGGAACCTGCAAGAAAATCGGTCTTGGAGTTCTAGAGGTAGAGCCTAAGCTTAAGCCCCCTGTGCCCTGCTCGGACCCCAGACTCAGCAGGACGTGCGGCACTTTGCTCGGCGTGGCTTCGCTTTCGTTCAGTTCCACTCGGTCGAGGCTTCGGGGAAGATGCAGAATGACCTAGTAGTAGAGTAGCTAACCTTTAACCTTTTTGGGGTAGGATAATCCCCAAAGGTTAACCTTCAATGCCCCCAGGTTACTGGACAACTAGGATGATTGAGTTCTTAGTTGTCAACACGTCGGGTTTAGGTTCTGGGCATATGAACACACTACGAAAATGTTGCGGCTCATTTCTGGACATAAGTGGGGCTTGGGAGGAAGCCAGAAAATTTTGTTAAATGCAAGGTGGATAAACCCTAGACCTGAGCCCCAAACCCTGAACTTTCTCTAAACGCTAGATACCCTACACAGTCCCACGCCCTTATGTAATTCCTAAAGCGGTTTCAACACCCTAAATGCGCCCTCGACCCCTCAAAGCGCGTTAAGCATTAGCAAAAAGCGCCCAGAAAACCCGGTAGATAAGGCCTAAACGCACTCCGAAAGCGCATAAACCCCTAAACCCTAAACCCCTTGTGAGGATGCCATCCGTGCCCTGAACCGATTCGACAAAGAGGGCCGAAGTGCCTTTGCTGCGAGCTGGGTGTGGGGGGGGGGGGGGAGCCACGTCCCTACACCCTACACCCGGAACACATTGTCCCTGGACCCTAAACCATCCTAAGCCCTCAGCTGATGTTTTGGGCTGTGGGAGTTTTGTCAGTTGTTGTTTGGGCTTCTTGGGGCTTCTAGAGGTTTAATCACGGTCTGGTCTCCTTCAAGACGCAGGGGTACCTAGAACTCGTTTCTGTGTGTCGGATGCCCTGGATTCTCGTTAAGGAACTTAAACCAAGTTACCATATTTTTGCGTTATTTAGCTAGTACAACTGTTCTGATGCCGAATGCATCGTTGTGCAGGTGTCCCTCTTACTGTTGACGTGTCGGTCGCTGTCACCCCGAAGCACGGGCAAATCGCAACATGACATCGTGGGCACTTCTGATCCCATAATCCAATTGCCCTTGTTGACATCCGAAGTCTTGATACAAACAGACCATCCCTGATCCCTACTTGAGAAGCTTCAGGAGTACTTGTAAGTAGAGGCGCCTGCTTATGACCCCAGTTCTGACTACCCATGTTAACCTCCCTTAGGGGAATAGTCGCAGGAACCCTTTCGTCTTCAGTGCAGCGGGTAGATATCAGTAATCCCCCCAACAAGGGTCCATATGACCCTAGAGCGAGTCAGCGTGGTTGCAAGTGAAACAACCGCCCACAATAGCTCCTGTGTTGCTGGGGAACCCGGTCTGGTGATTGCTGTCCGGATCTACTTGTATGGTGGGGAGATCATCACTGCGAGCGCAGTTCTACAAAGCCATGTCTTGTGTGGAGCTCCAGTCCTGTTTCATACTGAAGACAAATACCATCTGTTTCGTATCGTCAAGCCCTAGCCCTACACCCTCCCAAAACCCCAAACCGTAGACTCCTGAACCTCTGGAAGCTTCAACCCTGGCTGCTGCGAGCGAGGTCGCATCGACGGACAACGGGTCACGGCGAACTTTGCAAAAGAGCGCGAGGACTCTTACAGGGGTTAGCGGCGGTTCAGGGTCGAGCGTCTAGGGTTTGGGCTTCGGGAGATGTAGGGTCCTTTAGGGGAAGGTGGCCATATTTTTTGGGGGGGGGGGGGCAAGTAAGCAACCCCAAGCCTTCTAAGGGTCCCGGGTACCTCCGCACGGTTGTTGAGGGAACATAGCAGAGGGCTACGTATATGGGGGTTTCTGAGCATCAGGGTACCTTATTATTCTGGATCCTTTTAGTACGGGAATCCTACTATTTGGTGGTTCATTTAGGGGCACCCTTTTGTCCATATGCTTTGGGCAATCTGGATGGGAAGATTGTGGTGAAGAAGGAGAGTTGAGGCTGCGTTGGGGCTTAGAGCCGCCCGGGTGTTTGGGGGTATTTGTAACACTATGCCGATAAGGCCCAAAGCCGCATTGACCCTGTAAGCCCTACACAGACACATAGGGCCTCAACCCTAAACACGATTAACTCTATGAACCCTAGAAAGGCTACGGGCCCATCTTTCCGAATTTATCTTTTCACGACTTCTGTGGAGGTGCCGTCCTGGCAATGTGCCGTTTTTGGTTTAGAGTTGGTAGTTGTTAACGTTCCAAGGCTTTGGGGGGACGAGTGGTTAAGATTTTTGTGTTTCGGCTCAGGGTGTGTAGGGTTTTGCGTCTTCTGTGTTGACCATTTCGGGCTTTGACGTGTCTTCTTGGCAACCGTGTTTCAGACATCGTGTTTTCCATGTATTGTTTAGAAGGGCTTTGTGTTGAAGATTCGAAGTCTGTAAGGTTCATGGGACGAGGGGGTTAGCATTGTACCCTAAACCCTAAAGCCTAAACCCTAAAGCCTAAAGCCTAAACCCTAAAGCCTAAACTCTAAAGCCTAAAGCCTAAAGCCTAAAGCCTAAAGCCTAAAGCCTAAACCCAAATCTGGCAGGAGCCCTTCCGCGAAGGCCGAAACTTTTTGGTGGCTGAGCGCAACTTCCTGCAGAAGCAGGCCATGCTCCCCAGGATGCCCGGAAGTATCCTTCCAATCCGAACCCCTGAGGGATTCAAACCCCTAAATCCTAAACCTTGTGTTAGAAAAAGGATCCCTAATGAACCTGAGCCAAGAAGGGGGGAACCCTGTCTGGCGACTGCAACCCTAAAGCCTGAACCCCGTAGATGCTTCATATACTATTAAAGGTTGGTCGGCGACGGTGTCCATCTGTGGTGATGCGGTTTAGGGCCCTAAACCCTAAAACCCTGAACCCTATAAACCCCTAAACCCTAAACCTGAAAACCCCAAACCCTAAAACCCGACTGGTTCTAAAGGTGCTCTGAAAGTATGGACCTGAGAAAGGGGTTCCTCACTTCAGAGGGTACCTCGAGGCTCTTTTGGTGACAGCAACGAGGCAGTACTGCAACAATACTCAGAATGTACAACGGTCCTGGGTGTGGGGATGAATAAGGGGAAACCCTCAAGCCCATGCGCACCCGGATTGGTGCGGTTTTCCATGAACGTCGCCCCCCCCCCCCACCGGTACAGGACATTTCTTTAATGGTCGAACTTAACTTCTTTCGCTTGCAATTTTAGCCCTAAAGCCCGTTAACATGTCACGTATATTGGATATAGATATAGATCTAAAGTGGAGAAGCATATATATATATATAGACATAATGATTAGCAGCATTACTCTTTGCATTATCTCTATATCTGTATACATATATATGTATGTATATCCAACCTAGGAAAAGAGAACTGGCTCAACTGACCCCTATCGCCTCTCCCTGAAGCTGTGCCCCTGTTACTCAGGCGATTGCCACTGCCGAGGCCGGCTCCGGTTCCTCCAGTTCTGTAGGGCCGATCCGGGTTGAGGGTTTAGGGTTTAGGGTTTGGGTTTTGGGTTTTGGGTTTAGGGTTTAGGGTTTAGGGTTTAGGGTTTAGGGTTTAGGGCTTAGGGTGGTTGCTGGTAGGGTTGAGGGTGTAGGATGGAGGGTTAGGGTTTTGGGGTTCAGGGTTTTGGGTTCCTAGGGTGCAGGGTTTAGCGTTGAGGGGGCTATTTGTGTGCAGTAGGCACGAGGGTTAGGGCTCCCTTCAAGCCTGCCCTATGAGTACTCATGAACCATCAGAACGTTCAAGTAGGACTGATCCCTGAACCCCAAACCCTACGGGCGCTAGACGCTGAAAGCTACGTAAGCCAGCCTTTTGATTTTGGGCCTTCAAGGCCGTAGGTGTCGGCAGGGCTGAATCTCTGCATTCCTTTTTTTGTTATGGTTTACTGTAGGGTCTTTCAGAGCTCGGGTTTTCCCATTGGGTGCAGGGTTTTAGGGTTTGTGGGTTGGGGTTTTAGGGTCACTACTTCAGGGCCGGGTCTCGTATTAAACTGTTGTAGGCTTTAGGGCTCGGCTTGGGGTTTAGGACTCGGTTCGCAAAACGACCCTAAGCGCCCCTACTACCCCAAGCCAGGATTCACAGCAGCTTGCACGCTTGCGCCTCCTTCTTTTGCCCATTCCGCCGCAGATCAGGGATATTGACATGAGTATCACAGGGGCCGAAGCATAAACATGGGCAGCAACGCGAAACCGCTTTTCTGCCACAGGTTAGAGTTGGGACCAGCCACTCAGCATCAGCCAGAAACCTCAATGCACTGGGCCCTACCGCGCCAGCCTGTGCAAGGCCCTTCCAACACCTGGGAAATCCCCTCCCCTAACAGCAGCCCCCTCAAAAGAAGATCGTCTTCATGGCTATTAGGACCCCAAACCCCCGACCTAAACCCAATAGCACTAGCACCAGTGAATATGCGTGGCCCACGGGGCGCGTCGCTTCGAGGCGCGGGGAAACCTGCCTGACCCAGCCACACGACCTCCAAAAACCCTAAACCAGAGGGCATTCCACGACCCTCCCCGAAGGAAACCTAAGGGAACCGATTCGAGCGCATACGAACTCTTAGGAACTTAGGGGCGGACCCAGTGGACTGCGCCTTTAGCTGCGGAGCATTGCGGAGCCATGCGCCACGCCGCGCAGGCATGTCGCTGTAGGGGTGGTAGGGTTCTTGGTTTTAGGGCTGAGGGTTTAGGGTTTACGGTTTAGGGTTTAGGGTTGAGGGTCACGGTGATCTTGAAGGGGTTTGGAGCTTGGTGGGGGAGGGTGTGAGAGAAGCCACACCAACCTGACGTTTTGGGTTTGAGGGTTGCAGGTTTGCTGGGAGGGCATCTGCCCTCCCTGAGCCCCTCAACCTCAACCTGGGGTGTAACGATTAGGGCGACTAGGGGTCTCCGAAACTGAAGGCTCGGGAAGCTGGGTGTGTGCACGGTTTTGCCCCATATAAGTGGGGACCCAGCTCGACCCACGCCACCAGGCTGTTCATCAGAAGGCTCAGAAACTTGGGGGAATCTAGGGTGATTCGCACGCGAGCATGCAACCCTTGTTTTAGTTTTTGAGATCAACCGACTACTCCGATTAAGAACCGTCAGGCCTTAAACAGAGTCTTACCGGGTAGCAGATAAGAGCACGCCTAAATTTTTGAAAAAGCAAGAAAGTAGATAGCTTTCCCCCGTTAACTGTTAATCGTTCTGAATATCAGACAATGTAAGAAACAGCAGAGTCCCGCAGGAACAGAAAAACCTATATAACCTCCTCAAAAAACTTTTCTTTCAGAGTATGACATGAGCTCTCTTGTATGTCAAGAGACATATGGGATGTCTTCGGTGGTTTTGCGCGAAAGTAAGAGGTTGATTTTGGGTGACGATCAGAGTGGTAAAGCCTTAGAAGAATGAGCTAGCCTTAAGCACGAAAGCATGAACAGCAACATGCGAAAACAATAGCGGCCTGCTAAAACTATGTCATGTGGACAGTGATAATGACTCTTCACACACACACACACCTGTGCGTAGATCTTGGGAAGGGGGCGAGCATGCACGCGCATGAAGTACATAGATATATGCGTATATACATACATATGTATGTATATATATATATATATATTTATTTATTTATTTATTTATTTATTTATTTATACGAGTGTGTGTGTGTGTGTGCATACATGCATATTTAGTTGTCTGTACATACACAAGCACGTCTAGTTTTTTGCCTGTTGTTTGTTATTCAGTTTATGTACACACAGAGATGTGTAGGACTTTTGGGTGTGTTTGCATCGGTCATTGGGTTGGGGCAATTTTGTGAGGGAGGTATATGACCACCGGTGCCCATGTGGCACTTGTAGATACGGTCGGAGGGTTTGGAGGAGTGGCCACAGGTACCTGTATGTAGGCACGCGACATTAAGCACAGTCAGCTAGAGGGGGGGGGCATGCTGATTAGGCCGCCTTCAACTACGTGAGACCATCGCGAGAAGGCGACACCCGCAAGACTGCAACTTATGTGCCTCGGGTGGTCCTGAGAAGTTGCCTTTTTCTTGTCCGGTGTTTGATCCTTCCCGCAGCTAGCGCCTGGCCACCCTTCTGAACCATGAAACCCTGAAGCCTGGAGCCCTGACAACTGAAGAGCATCAACTCTTTGAACAGCACCTTCTGCATGCTAGGGTTGAGGTCTCTGTTTTAAGGGTCTCGCTTGTGCAAGGGCCCCAGCGGGCTTCCATCGTGGGATCCCCCCCCCCACCAAAATACGCCACCCAGACCCTAGACAACACTCAGCCCTGAACGACAACCAAGGACCAGCAGCCGGGGTGCCCAGATGTGAGGATCACAGCAGGGGCTTTTTCGGGCACCTTTGGTTTGCTGTTGATTTGGGTTTAGTTTAGTTTAATTTAGTTTAGTTTCGTTTAGTTTGGAGTTTAGGCTTTTTGGGGGTAGGGTTTTCCCGACCCCGCTAGCAAGCGGAGCCATATCCTCAAACTTTTCGCTTCTAAACGAGGGAAGCGTACGGGACAAGTAGCTGTTTGGGGACCATGCAAGCTGGCTGCTCTTGCATGTCATCTGGGAAAAAGTTGGGATGCTCTCTGGCCTTCATTCGGCAGCCGCAGTTTTCTGAGACCTCAAAAGCACCACTTGGATGCCCAGTAGCACCCTTCTAGATGGATACTGGAGGACCTGCTCAGCCCCCATTCAACAGCATGTTTTCGTTCAGCCCGCAGCCCTAAACGCTGCCCCCAATCTAGTCTTCAGGGCTTGGCCCGGAGCTCGATGTCTCCATGTGCCCTTGGAGGTTCAAGGGTAGCAGGGGGTCGAAGTACCCTGAAAAAGGTTGAGGCTTCGGGTGGCTTACGAAGTATCCGTGAACCACGAAGTGCCTGTTCCCACGCATCCTCAGGCTCAAGACGATCATGAAGGAGGTCGAGGACCCTGCGCCGTTGTGTTCAGCCTCGAAGTCTTGCCATCGCAACCATAAACTCCTCCAGAAGGGCCTCAGGGGCTCCAGAAGGGCTCCACAAGGGCTCCACAAGGGCTCCACAAGGGCCTCAAGGGGTCCAGGGGGGGCCTAGGGGGGTTTGGTAGTTGAGCCTCCAGGACAGCCTTGTAAACCCAGAGTGCGGAAGACAAACAAGAACGACGACAATCCGGCCTAAGTTTTCTCTCGGAAGCCTAAACCCTAAACATCCCTAAACCCTGAACCCTAAAGCGTTCGTCAAGCAATGAGGAGGCATAGAAGTTACACGCCCGAAGCACAGTGTCACATGCGGAAGTGAATTTGGCCTGGCTTGAGCTTGGTTTCGCCGTGAATTGAGTAGCGATGAGGTGGCAACTTGGGGTATGGGGCATGTCTGCATACTAGCAGCTGACCAATGCCACACCCCAACCTCTACAGAAAGAACCCGGGCAGCTTAGTTTTTAACCTTGGGGGGGATTAAACCTTGAACCCTAAACCCTAAACCCTAAACCCTAAACCCTAAACCCTAAACCCTAAACCCTAAACCCTAAACCCTAAACCCTAAACCCTAAACCCTAAACCCTAAACCCTAAACCCCACCACCTCTTTCTGAACACCAACGCCCCCAAACCCGCTGGTTCGTATGACCCAAACCCATCCCCAGCTGCTCAATCCCTCAACGTTCAAGCCCAATCCCAGGGCCCATAAGCTTTCAGAGTTTGGGGTTTAGGGTTTGGAGCTTCGAGTTTGATTAGGGTTGAGGGTTTGAGGTCTTCAGCCGGAAGCCCTCCAGAACTCCTCCCCCCCCCCCCCCCAAATCCCTCTGTCAGGAGACGGACTCAGACGACGGGTGGAGTCCTAAGGCCTGCGAGTGGTACCTTTTGCCCTTTTCTTGGTAGGCCTTTGGGACATATCATCTGTTCCCTTTTGGGTTTAAGAGTATCGTATTTAGGAATGCTGGGATGCCAAGGTTTTAGGGCTTCGGGACTTTGGGGAACTCAGGCATTTAGAGGGTTCAGAGGTGTTTGGAGCTCAGGAAATGGGGAGAGTCTCAGGGATGTACGCTACGGACCACAGTGCTCAGTGTTAAGGAGTGTTTGGAAGTTAAGGATGTTAATTTTAGGCCTCAGGGATTCAGAGCTACTTCGATTTGGCGGTTGGCGCGCGCATCCAAACCCTCAGCCCTCGACCAGAACATCAAGCCCATAAGGCACAGTCTCTCCATGCAGCCTTCCCAACACCCGTAAACCCGAGTGGGAAACCCCAAGCCCTTTTCTAAAAGCAAGCACCCTACGTAAGGTGCAGGGTTTGGGGTTTAGGGCTTCGGCGACCCGCCAATAGCCCTCTGCTTATAAGTGCCCATCAGAACCCCCGAGTGAGCGAAGCCTTCCAAACCCCCCTAAGGGCGAAGCATGACCTGCGCGTCCAATTTGAGGGTTTAGCCACGTTGGGGGATCCTATACTACCCTTACTGACCCTTACCTTACCTTAATCAGCCACATGATTCAATGTCATTGGGATTGAGTGCAGCCAGTGGACTAACATCAGTGGAGCCGGCACCCTCACCGGGTGAATTGTCTGCAATAGAACGTCTGAGCAATGGACACCCCCAGCAGACCTACCCGGCAGTAGCTGCTCAATACCCGCTTGTGGCATGTTTTTGAGTTTGGGGGCATCTACCTGAGCCACCGAGCCACCGATCAACTCTTTGACTTGTGTACCATAGCCCATGACGACAACCTCTGCCAAATCAGCAGTCGAGGTTAATAAGGTAACATTGATCTGAGTTTGGTTACCTACCGTGATTTCCTCAGTTGTATAGCCTACGAAGCTACTAAAGACCAAGACAGCACTCGGGCTGTACGGTCGCCTTATACTTGCCATCAGCATCGGTACTCATGCCGTTGGTCGTGGCTTTCACCCTCACACCCCAACCCCCAAGTAAGGCTTAGTTGAGGGTTATGAGGGCTAGCCCACGATCCCGTGATCACAGGTCACCAAGTTTGACCGGACCGGGCATTATGGCCACGTGCAGACAGTTGGGAGCCCAGAATGGTAAGATTGTCGGGGTACCTGCAGGCATGTGAAGTCATCAGCCCGACCTAGGTTTAGGGTCTGCAGGTTGTTTTGGAGTTGATTTGTTGTGCTTCTGTGGTGGGAGGGGTGGAGAAGGCAAGCCTACACTCCAAGGTTGTTCTCATACTCTGAGGATAGCACCATGGCCTAAGCCGTAAACCCTGCATATGGTGCCGAGAAGGTGTAGCAATTGTCCGTGAGAGCTCCCAACTATGCATGAGATTCTCCCATGCAGCGAGTAGGTTGAAACTTTCAAATTGACCCTAAATCAAGGGAAAAAGCGACCCTGATCCCTCAGCTAGAAAGCAGAGGTGGACGAAAGGGACGTGGAGCCGGCAGATGTCTTCTTCAGTGTTTGGGCCCCAGTTCTCTGAAACAAGGTGTAGTGCCGCAATGACAGTGTGAGGGCTTATAGGGTTTAGGGCCTAGTTGGTATGGTCCAGGGGTTGGTTTAGGGTAGGCTTTCTCAGGGTTAAGGGGTATATACCATATGTAGTCGCTATATACCTAAGTAGCCCCCAAATAAACCCCAAGGAGAACCCCGAAGGTCCATTACAAGGGTCCCTCCTTTAGTCCCTTAACAGGGATTCCTCCCTAGGGCCCTAAACCCTCAACCCTATACGCCCCGCTCCAGGAGATGCCAAATCAACTGCAAGGTTTCGGGGCTGCAGATGTCCCGCAGGGTGGGGCTCGTGGTTTGAGGTTTGGGGTTTAGGGTTTAGGGATTCTAGAAAGGATTAGCTACTCGGGATTTAAGCCCAACTCCCTAAGACTCAAGACCTGCACCTTACACCCTCAAACCTAAACCTTGTGACCCTGAACCCGAATATCCCGAAAAGAGTTGCAACCCTAAACCCCAAACCCTAAACCCCAAACCCTAAACCCCAAACCCTAACCCCTAAGCCTAAGCCCCGCCTAGCCCTAAACCCAAAACCCTAATGGGCTTGAGGTGGACATGTACGACTCCGTCCTGGTCGCAGCTTTCGGCGGCGTTACCATGTGCTTCGGCTCTGGGTGCTGCATGTGTTCGGTTTATGTTTAGGGTTTAGGGTTTAGGGTTTAGGGTTTAGGGTTTAGGGTTTAGGGTTATCTTATCTAGGACCCTTGTAACATGTCTAAGGGTTTGTTATTGGGTTTGGAGGGGGTAGGATGCCTCCACAGGATTTATCCCCTTGTGTGCGGTAGGGTCCACAGTTTTTAGGGTTCCGGGCTTCCAGGCAATTCCCTCTCCCCCAATCAGCCACGCAGAAAAATTGAAACCACCAACAAAGCTCTTCTCCCGCAATAACCTGAACCCTGTGAGGTTTTGTGCCGGTCGGGCGGGGTTAAAGACCAGCGGATGGGGGGCGGGGCGGCGTTCAACATGTGCGGCATGGGATGGGCCTAAATGAAACCCTATGGCCTGAAGGGCCTGAAGCCTAAACCTCTAAGGCTTCCTTTCTTCGGATGCTATCAGACTGAGGGGTTTGCCGAAACTCCAGCACAGGGTCGAATCTAGGGCCCTAGGGCCTTTGGGATCCCGTAGCAACCACCTCAAGCAGCCCGACCCTAACCCTGGTAACCCTAAACCCTAAACCCCAAGCCCAAAGCCCGTGTTTTTCCCCTAGATAAACCGACCTCGCCCAGGAACCTCGACGGGTCGGATGAGCTTCACGTGCATCCTGGGGTCTTGCAGCTTGGCTGCTACTACTTATTAAGGAATCTGAAGGGAGGGGGCCTTTAAAGGCCCCCTAAGCTTCCCTAAGGTTTCCCATAAACTACTATTTGCCTAAGAACCCCAAAAAAAAACAAGAAATGATATTCCCTATATTACCCTTATCAGGAAGAGCAGTTTCTTTTTTCTAGGGGATTCTTAAGCAATTCGTAGGCTGCGGCTCCGGAGGGCTATTGGGTTTTAGAGTTTCAGGGTTTTTGGGGCTTTTGGATTCTTGGGCCTTTGAGTTTCTGGGTTTTGGGGTTTTGGGGTTTTGGGGCTTCTAGGTTTTAGGGTCGAGTGTTTAGGGTTTTAGGGTTCACGGTTTTAGGGTTTAGGGCTTTGAAGTTGCCGTTTCGTCTTTTACTGTTGTGCTTCTTGTTGGCTGTGTTGTACAGGAACATAAAGATGGTCGTTCTGTTCGACCCAACTAATGAAGCCCTAAGCCTTTAGCCACACTTTGGCAAACCTTTTCAGAAATCTCATCGAACGAACACCTGCCAGAAAAAAACAGCTTGATTCCTGAGCCTTGACGCCTGGAAGCCGCGCAATCCACGTCGCTTCCACGCCCCAAACCCTAAACTAAGCCCTAACCCCCAAACCCTAAACCCTAAACCCCGAACCCCTCACACCTCACCGCCCTAACCCTCACCCTAAACCCTGAACCCTAAGGTTTTAACCCCCTAACCCCTAAGCCGGCTTCCAGGTTCATTTTCTGCCTGCCCCTGGCCTCGACCTCGGCCTCCCTTCTTTTGGGGTTCTTAGAGGGCTTCTTTGGGGTTTTGTTGGGTTTTGTGTGGGTTTTAGGTGTTTTTTTGTTTTTGGGGGGTTTGGGGGTTCTTAGAGGGTTCTGGTGTTTTGGGGTTTTATGCCTCCATTTCCAAGAGGGCGAGGACGGGTGCTTACGTTCCCAGCGCGAGAACACGGTGAACCTTTCCGAGAAGAGCGGCCTGGAACTCCACACATGCTTGGGCATACTATGGCCCCTTGACGTGTATGAGTCGAAGTTCCGCGTGAAACCATGCAAGAACATTATCACGAAAACCAGGGCGGGCAAACCCTCACAGGACTGTCATTTGGCATGTTTCAGTTGTGTCGCGAGTCGTGGCCTTTTCATTGCCTATAGGGCCTATAAGGCCTATGACCTATACATAAAAAGGGTCCATGAATCACTGAATCACGTTACATTGCTTTCATTCTTCGCTGGGCGCGTGCTGAGTGTTTCGAGGGTTTTAGGGTTTTAGGGTTCTTTGAGGGCTTTTTGGGTTTCAGCGATTCTAGAGGGGTTTGGGGTCCTTACAGGGTTTCAGGGCTTTTGGGGCTTTGGGGCTCTTGGAGGTTTGAAGGTTTTGGGGGTTTTCGGGTTCTTAGAGGGTTTTAGGGTTTTAGTTTTTGTTTTTCATTTTTCGCGGTTTTGCGTTTCTTAGAGGGTTTTAGGCTACATAGAGGGTTTTGGGGTGTTCGGGTTCTTTCAGGGTTTTTAGGGCTTTTGAGGTTTTGGGCTTCTTAGAGGGTTTTCGGGTTTTGGGGGCTTTAGGGTTCTTGGAGGGGTTTAGGGTTTTAGGGTTGTCGGGTTTTTTGATGTTTAGGGCTTTTGAGGCTTCAGGTTTCTTACAGGGTTTTAGGGTTTTGGGGGTTTTAGGCTCTTAGAGGGTTGTGGGGGTTTTATGTAGGGTTTTGGGGTTCTTCGAGGGTTTTAGGGTTTTAGGGTTTTGGTTTTAGGTTTTTTTTTTTTTTTTTTTGGGGGGGGGGTTGGATTTTAGGTTTTTTATTTGTAGGGTTTTAGGGTTTTTTGAGTTCGGTGGTTTTGGTTTTTTGGGCTTCAGGGTTTCACTAGGTAGGCCTTTAGCATCTTTTGTGCTTTCCCTTATTGGGTTTAAGAGGAGTATGTTTAGGAATGTTTTGGGCTTCAGCGTTTTAGGGTTTAGGACGTAGGCATGGGGGCTTCGATTCAGGGCTTTGGCGCCTCAGTTTGCATTTTGGCTTTAGGGTATTGTAGGGTATTGTAGGGCTGTGTGGGTTGTTGTGTACTGGAGCGGTTGGGCAGTTTGGTTGTTTTTTTGTGTGAGGGGAGAGAGTTTGGGCTTGATCGCTTACGGTTTAGGGTTTAGGGTTGGGACACTGCACTTGCGTCCTCGACCTCACAACCACACAGCAGTGAACGAGACTCTTAAAACCTCGACCCTATAGTCTTGGGATGTTCCCCCTTGTACTAACAGTCCTTATAATCGGGGGTACTGTAATCCTTATTAAGGACTGTTATTAGGGGCCAACGGCCAACATCCCAACCACAGACCCTCAACCCGAAACACTAAAACTGAAACGGAAGGTCATCCTCCAGTTCTGGTTGACCTTCTGCGTGGCGCCCTCGGCACCCTCTGCCCACGTCGCTAGACATCGGCTGTGTTCCCTAAACCGAAAAAGCCCTGTTTAAGGTTCACGGGGTCATGGGCTTTGGCTTCACAGTTCAAGGGCCTTTGGGGCTTTTAGGGGTTTTGGGTGTTGGGTTTAGGGCACAGGGCTCCATCGTTTGCTGTCAATGCCGGCGTGACCTCAGACCACCTTCGGCATGCCGGCCTACTGGAAACAGCTGGATCCCAACGCAGAGGCCCGGCGTTCTCGTCGCGGAAAGTTTCTTGGATGTTGGGGCTTTGGAGGCCCTACAGGGGGGGGTGGTCCGAGTTGCCCGATTCACCCATCTATTGGGAGGCCCTCCCCCGGGACTCCCCTAGGCAGGCTGGCCGTGAGAGGGCCCCTGGGCCCGGGCACGGAGGATAGGGAAGCGAGCGAGAATTGTAGACACAACCAGGAAACGACAAAAAAACTAAATGATAGCTAGATAAATTAAACGTAAATAGTTGATGGTGGTGAAGCAGCCCCGAAACCCTAAACCCTCAACACCTAAACGATCCCTAACCTCACAAACCAGGCCCCCATCCCAAACCTGTAAAGCTGCGTGGTTCAGAGCTGCACTCCTTCAAGCAGGTAGGTTCCCCAAATTCGAGTGACTGTCATGCGCTTTTTGATCATATGGTTAAAGGCCTAGGTATACTTGTGATGCCCCAAACAAGGACCGTAGTTAAGAGACCTAACCGCACATCGACACTGCAAAAAACGCCGGATCCCTCGAGGCTCACAGGGTCCTGGTGGGTGTATTAAGAGTCCGTGAGGCTAAGCCCTAAGCACGTTGGGGAGTTTGGAGGAAGGGGGGCGGGGGTGGGCAAGTTGCCCGAATCCTTGATAGGAATTTGCGGAAAGGGAACCAAGGGCTCCTTTAGGGAACTATTTAGGACGTAGTTGCTGGGGTTGTTCTGGAGGGGGTTAGGGGGTGGGGCTTGGGACAGCTTCGGTGGGCTTGAACCCTCAACCCTAAGTACACCCTAAACCCTCGGAGGAGAGCATGATCATCAGCATGAAGCTCCTCCTGATTGTTGCTGCTGGCTCAGCCTCTGGTTTAGGGTTTATAGCTTCATTTTTTGTTTTTGTATATTCTGGTGGTTGGGAGGGGAGGTAGGGTATGGTTTAGGCTTTGGGCGGGGAACTGAACGGCTTGCGGGCGTCACTCTGGCAAAGCCCCTCATGCTCCCTTCCTCCGATGGATCTGCCCCTCGGAAATAGGAGTGGTAGCCTTACAAACCCCAATTAGACCCTATGAACGTTTTACAGCCAAGACTTTCCGAGGTTGTGCAGCTGACGTTCTTCGACAACATGCTGATGACGTTGCCACCTCATGAGTTGGGGTGTAGGGTTTCGGGTTTAGGGTTTAGGGTTTAGGGCACTGCCACAGAGCTGGGGTACTTGGACACGTGAATGAGATGCTACGTTCAGGCCGGAAGCCCCACAAGGTCAGATCTCCGAATTGGTCGTCCCTGCTGTAACACGGCCCCTTAGTCATGAATGATCACCCTAAACCTGGACTCTGCTGAAAAAAACAACTAACAAAAATGCATACATAATGTATACATATGGAGATATATATATATATATGTATGCATGTATGTATGCAAAAGGTACCCCAAAGAAGAGACCGTGGGGAACTGACAGCACAGAGTCCATTCCGTCGAGTTCAAGTGCCTCAGATGCTTGCAACTTCAGGGTTATGAAGCTGAGATCTTCTGGCCGTTTTTGGGGGTTAGTCGGGTTGGTTTGGGGGGGGGGGGGGGGGACTAAGGGAACATAAAACATGCCAAAGCCACGACCACAAACCCTATGTTTGTGGTCCGCTATGTACTCTGTACGATGCAAACGGAATTGCGGATACCTTGTACTTGGTGCACCTCTCAGTGCTATACCAATGTTAGCTCGTTGCCAATAGCCTTAATCAAGGTCAGTAGCATGTTCTTTTTAGGCTGCAGACCGTTTTTGAGCATCTGTCTGCCTGGCCTTCCGATGCGAAGCAAACATAACCTCAGACAAAACTCATTACCCTGCACAAAACCCAAAGCCCTGCACATAAGCCTGGACTGGTTGAGGCTCCGCTGCTTCGTCTTCGCGATCAACCCCACCAGCTGGTCGAACTCCCACGTTTCTTATTGTGCGTTTCGATGTTCGCTAGATTGTCGGCATTTTGCGGTAAGGGCATTCTTCAAGGGGCCTAGGGGCTGAAGGCTTTAGGCTGCACAGGCCTTGAGCATCAAGCGAAGCAGCGCCAATGGTGGCACCCTGACAATATGAAGTAAGGAGTTCAGATGAAAGGGGCTTCAGGGTTCAGGATTTAGGGAATAGACTCTCAACATCTCTCAACCCTAAACCCTACCTCATGAGAAACAGGGCTCATACCAATGCTATTGGTGAGTTTACGTGCGGGCTTCGTGCATCTATCTATTCAGTGTCCCTTCATATGATTGCTGAGCCACCTAGGATGTAGGCCTTGATCTTCCAAGTCTGGTGAAGCAAAGTCATCATGATGATCGCGAAGGTCACTTGAAGGCCTCTCGCAGGTTCCCCAAAAACAGCCCCCTGCGAAGCCTAAGTCCCAAGAACCTAAAGTCTAAACCTAAACCTTAACCCCAAATCGTACGAACAGCAGTTCCCAAGGCCGTAACGATCCCCAACGTCTAAACTGTGGCGCCTTGCTACCCCACCAGGACCGATGTCAAGCGCATTGACCCCGACGACCCAAGGATCAGAGCTTAGGGCTTAGGGAGGGCTTTATAGGGCTTCTAGGGTTCAGGTCTTTTCGGGCTTTTAGGGTTTCACAGACTTGACCCTGATGCCGCAGGAAGGAAGATGCGCAGCCCCAAGCCCTAAAACCGGGCTCTATAGCATCACATCGGAACCCCGAACCCTCAACAGGACGGGCCGCTCGCGACTGAATGTGTCCCGCACCCGGATCAAGTTTTGAGATTTTACTTAGGTCTTTGAGCTTGTTTTTTTGTTTCTTTGGGGGGGGCGGGGGTACTGTGGGGTTGAACCCTAAATCTAGGAGTTCCATAGCCATTCCGCCTCGCTTTGGGTGCTGCCTCGATTTTGGGTGCTGCTTCAGCGCGTGGGCTTCGCGCTGAAGCAGCACGCTGAAATTGAGGTGGAACGATAGTCGAGGTGGCACGCTGTGAAAATCAACTGGGTTTCGCTAGAAAGGCTATTTTGCTTGAGAAGAAACATGCCAGGCCAAATTCCCGTGCCAAATGCATGCTGCCTCGATTTGGGTGCTGCCTCGATTTTGGGTGCTGCTTCAGCGCGTGGGCTTCGCGCTGAAGCAGCACGCTGAAATTGAGGTGGAACGATACTTGAGGTGGAACGGCTAGGGAAACCCTTGACTAAAGGCCCTGAAATCTTACTTGCATTTTCAGGCCCCGAACCCCAGTAAAGACTTCCGAGTTTCAGGGAGATGAAAAATGTGTAGATGCTCTTAAGGTTTGGTGATGTTCGAGGCTTCAGGCTTCAGAGGTGCAGGGTTAGGGGTCAGGGATGTCTCAGGACACACGCTCTTCTGGGCCGGTGTTTGAGCTTGCTGTGCAGTGCGGGTTCAGGGCAGGGTGTACCATGACTGCATCAACCCTGCAACTTCAATCCGGAAGCATCCCAACAATCTCTAATACATTGAGGTCTAAAGGTTTAGGGCCTGAACTGAAGGCTCGTTGTTGCACTTAGGTGGGTAAAGAGAGTACCGTGCGAAGTGGCCTCCTTCTGCTGGATGCCGTATATTAAGACATACGACACCCAAGGAGGGCACCCGCAACCCGTAAACACCCAAGGCCTCGAAAACCCCCCCCAAAATAGCCACCTATAAAGGAGCCCTGACTCAGACAGGTTTGGGGTTCAGGGTTTTTTAGAGCCAAAGGTTTAGGCTCCACAGCCCGGGGCCTCTAAAGGAGAGTAAGGTTTGGGGTTTAAGGTTTTGGGGTTTAGGATTAACATGGCTTACGGTCGCCGTGGTTTCGGGCGTTGAACCGCCGATCGTGAGCTTCAGGATGCGTAGAATCCAGGTTCTTCCGCCTACAACCACGCCCAGTCGAAAGACGTGGCATACCCTCAACCCTCAACCCTAAACACTTGAGGGTTTCAGGGTTGTAGGGTTTAGGGCTCATGTAGGGCAAGTGGGAATCGCCAGAAATAACTCAGCTTTGCTTCTTTTCGGGCCCAGGCTGCACTGGTCGCCGTTCCTGGCTCCTTTTCCGATGCTGGCGCTTCTGCCCCTCCGGCGGTTTTAGGGTCCAGGGTTTAGGGTGTAATTTGGGATGTTCCCCCTTATACTAGCTAACAGTCCTTTATTGGGGACCATAATCGGGGGTACTACAATCCCCATTAAGGACTGTTAGTATAAGGGGGAGCATTCCAAGGTGTGATTTTCGGCTGCTTGTACAGGTGGGCAGTTCTCCACATCATGGTCCAGCCCTAAGCCTCTAAACCGCAAAACTAGCCAAGAGCAATCCTAAGCCCTGAAAAAAGCCTAAGCCCGAAAAAACCCTAACAAGCCCTAAACCCGTAACTGACTCTACGCATAAGGCTCCGCAGTAGACTGGGAACCCCAGTGCTGGGGCCAGAGCTCAGAGAGTTGCCAAAGGAGGGTTTCAGGGCTGCAGGCAGCGGTTTTCGGGTTTAGGGTTTCGGGTTTCGGGTGTAGGGTTTGGGGTTTAGGGTTTAGGGTTTGGGGTTTAGGGTTTGGGGTTTAGGGTTTGGGGTTTAGGGTGAACGTTGAGGGTTTTCGGGGGTTTCGGGTTGCTTCGCTCTCCTGGACGAAATGCTGTCATTCCCGCCCTTTGTTGATACCGCTGGGAGGTGCAGAGGTTGGGCGATACTGTAGCTTACTGACTTAGAACCCCACTCCCTGCACCATGAACCTTCCAGCAGAACTATCACGCTCGCAACCGCACACCCTCAACCCCAGACCCGAACCCTCAACCCTGACCCCCTAAACCCTAGAAGCCTAAACCCGAACCTTCGACCCTCAACCAGGGCCAAAGTTCTGATGCAGTACTGGGTCTCTGTACAGCGCCTGCCTTAGCATGCTTCATTTTTTTGGGGGGCTTCAGGGTTTTCGGGGGGGTGGAGGGTTTGATGGGTTTAGGGTGTTGCAGGCATCGTGTTTGGGAAGTTTAGGGATGACTCATGCGCTCGGCGGGCTGACGGTTTTAGGACTTCTTGGTTTGGGACTTTGGGGTGGTGGCTGTTGGGTCTCCGGTTTCAGGAGCTCACCCTGTAGGCCTCAAAACCCTAAATCCCCAAAACCCCCACAAGCTTCAAGCCTAATGTGTGCCGAGCCCACACGTCTCCTTCCTTCTGGGCTTCTAAGCCCAGAAATGTCTTTTTTGTGGGCTACGTGGGCTTCCTTTCCGGTGGTGGCGACTGGGTGGGGGGTAGCAGTTCAGGTGGACCTTACAAAAGGTTCGCGGTTCCTGGGTAAGCATGTGAGGAGTCCAACGCCGGCGTCAGTTTGGGAACAGGCTTGGAGTCCACGATGTACGGCTTGGGGACTTTTGGGCTCGCGGCTGGTGTGCTATGCAATCTGAATCTGTGTTTCTTAAGCCTTTCAACCTGGAGGGCCCTGTGGCTTTAAATTGAAGCCGTGGCTTTTTTTCGGACGGTGGCTTGAATTCTTGGGGGCACGGGCTGGCCACCCAAAAAAAGCCACGGTGGCTTTAATGTTGGGACCTCAAACTTATAACCATTGTGTTTTATGCCTAGCTGTATAGGGGCCGACGATTGTGATTAAAAAACATAACAACTATACACGCAACATTTTAAACTTGTTATGCACGGTCTCTGATAGTATAGAAAGAAACCACAATTTTTGATCACATTTGTTTGCTGTGACGCATGATCCGACTTGTTATGCGGTGGGGTGGGGGGGGGGGGGGGGGGGCGGGTCGGTGTCAATATTCCACCGCTGCCTTGAGTGCATGTGTGGTGCTCTGCGGCGTGACGGTGCCCATGGAGTGCCCTGCCAGCGGCTTGCATGATGGAACCAGCTGTAGTGCCCTTAATCCAGAGCTCGCCTATCACAGGTATGATCTTTTTGAATTTTGTAAAGGGGGCTTAGGGGGGGGGGGGGCTTGAATTTGAGGACGAACACGGGGGGCTTCAGAAGTGGTTTCAAGCCCCTTTCGAGAATTATGAGCTCTGGACTTCTCCAATTAAATTTGAAGGGGGCTTCGAAGGGGCTTTAAGGAAGGGGGGCTTTCTCA